TAAAAGAGAGAAAGAGAGAGACTTGTTAATTTCTCCCCAGGCAGAGTTTACTTCACAGATCAGCTTAAGGATACGTTCATTCAAGGAAAATATTACGTTAGACGAATTTAGAGTGAGTTAAAGTTAGCTCTAGTAGGATTAGATTAGGTTCGAGTTTCTTTAGGTTTGGCTCAACTACCCTGAGAGATTAGAGCGCCTGCAATTGCCTAGCTTATACTATAAACGGGCAAGAGGTGACCTAATTGAGGTGTATAAACATCTCAAAGGGCACTACTCCAGTCGAGTGCCCTTACCTGGAGCTGGCGGACGTCCACCCAACAAGGGGTCACAACTCAAAGTTGAAGAAGCCCCAAGTCCAGAAAACTGTGAGGGCGAATTTTTTCGGAGTGAGAGTTGTGAACTCTTGGAACATTCTGCCAGAGAGTGTTATGACGGCACCGAGTGTGAGCTCTTTCACGACAAGACTTGACCAACACTGGAGCAGTTCAGGTACATTCAGGAGCCGGTTCATGCCCAGTACTTGCCAACAGTGCGTAACTGAGACGTGACCGACCGCCCAAGCGGCTAACGAGCCGATCATTTGGTCAAGAGGACAAAAGAAAAAAGGTAAAACAGTAAGGTTAGATTACGTTAGGTTAGCGCTAGGGTAGATTAGAGAGGATTAGATTAAATTAGATTAGATTAGATTACCATAGGTTAGACTAGATTACTTTAGTTAAGTTACATTTAGTGGCAAAGAATGTCATCACCTGGCTACAAAGATTCGATAAGTAATGCACATGGTGATCAGTATGCATGACGAGATATTTCGCTCAATAAAAAAAAAATTCCCACTACCTCGCCACATCTCGTCACCACCGACCAAGACCTCAGCTGCGAGAGCCATGAATAAGTAATCAGATCTGTTGCCTTCTTTCGCTCAAGTTATCTCATACAAAAGTTCTTGAAGCTACAAAAGTTTCATGTTTACATTCTGAATTACTTGATGAACTTTTGAAGAACTATTTACAAAACTCTAAGTTGCTGAAATTCTAGAGTAAAATGATATCTTAAAGACCATTAGATAAAAAGCCTGTTAACATTCTTGGTTGAAATGCCTTACTATTTGTATACCCTGAACCGTCTGGGTATGTTAGTTTGTATACCTGCAGTGTATGTGTATACCTGTATTGTCTATATACATGCTGAATTGTATATCAGCATTGTCTATATTCATGCCCAACCATCGAATCCAGGCCATCCAGAATAACACCAAACAGCCATAATAATGTTCAATTGGTCATGCCCAAGTGGCTAATGAGCCGATCAGTGGCGAAGAGGATGATCACAACCCTAATTTAGGGCCATATCTTTGTTTTAGTGAGTTACTGCTATAAAAGAGAAAGAAAACTTGTAGTGAGAGAAAATTATTTTAACGGATGAACTCAAGCAATATTTCGAAACCACTTCAGTAGGTAGGAGGTGGAAAGGCGTCAATCTATACAAAGAATATCGAGGTATATAATATTTTTCCAGGACAACGTCAACTTAATGATACTTTTACCGAAATATATTAAGTATTGAGAAGATTTTCAAAGCACTGGATGCAGAATTAAGGGTGCTTAAAGTACCCAATCACTTACGTTGCTAGAAATGCTGTTGCTTGTGTATAAATAATACAAAAATATTATAGAATAGCCCCAAAAATAGCCAAGCGAGATCATTTTTTTCCACTGTCTACCTGTACTGCCTATACCTGACGGAACATTTACCTGTCAGCAAACAAATTATTTTAGAAAGCTCACTAAACTTATTCTTAAGCTAAATTCTCAGTCTGTAGGTTCCTCGAATAACATAAATAAACTTCCTAACATTACCTACCCTCTGAAAGCCTCTTGCCACCCGAGTATTTTGTTTTTGTGGTTACTCAAATGTTCTATGCAGAAGTTGAGGGAGGGATGAGATTTCGGCGCATGCAAATATGGTACGAGGTTTATTTCGACTTAAGGGAGCTTTTAGTGTACAGGATGGGATTCTACTTTTTACTTTTCTTACTTGAGTATACTTTGAATTAGATATTTACTATAATTTAAGAGTAATTTTGGAATAGTAATTCAACATTTATTTAAGTAGTCTATATTTTTGTTGCACTACTTATACTTCATTTTAAGTATATAAACAAAATGAGTACTTTGCATACCTCTGATTACACTGGTCAAAAAAAAAAAAAATTCTCATGGTTCTGGGTCAAAACAGTCTGATTCTAGTGTAATTGTATGTGCTGAACTCAATTATGACATTCGTATAGCTGTATCAGGCTCAGTTTCCAGAACCAGCATATCTATATATTTAGTGTACCATGCTATTCATACAGTAATTTATATGCTCATTGGCTCCACTTATGCAATTATTTTGTCCTGATTTGTGCTTTTTTGTTTGTTTCAGTTTGCTGATTCATGATATTGCATATCTACACCTGCATGATTTGTAATTACTCTGAAATTAACAAAACATGGAACGTCGCAAGTGTGTGAACGGTGCTGACAGTTTTTGCTACATATGTGGTGCCTTCACTCCTGGTAGCCTCAAGAAACCAATCACAAAAGCTGTTCGACTGAACTACAAAAGTTACTTCAAATGTCATTTGGGTGACCAAGACAAGAAATGGGCACCTCATGTAGCCTGTAAGTCTTGTGTTAACCACCTGAGCGAGTGGATGTGTGGTAAACGAAGTTCAGGAATGCCGTTTGCTGTACCAATGATATGGCGTGAACCTAAAGACCACAGTAGTGACTGCTACTTCTGTCTCACAAATATTAAGGGAATAAAAATCAAGACACGAGGCAAGGTACAGTACCCCAATATTGCTTCTGCAATCCGACCAGTACCGCACAGTGCTGAACTTCCAGTCCCAAATCCACCGACTGAACAAGAATTGAGTGATTCCGATTCTACCTCTACCTCAATGGAAAACGACTACCAGGATGACTCTGAAAATACCAGGCCTAAACTATTTACTCAAGAAGCGCTTCATGATCTCATCAGGGACCTAAACTTGTCAAAAGAAAAGGCTGAAGTTTTGGGATCCAGACTAAAGCAGCGTAACCTGCTAGAAGATGGAGTGCATATCACTACAGCGTGTTACCGACATAGACAGCTGTCTGCATTTTTCAAGATGGCAAACAACCTTTGTTATTGCGAGGACGCAGTATCTCTCATGCAACAACTCTGCAAGTCTGAAACATACAAGACAGAGGATTGGAGGCTGTTTATAGACTCAGGAAAAGACTCTCTGAAAGCTGTTCTTTTACACAATGGCAATCGGCTTCCATCTGTCCCAATAGCACACGCAACAAAAATGACTGAGAGCTATGAAACAATGAAAATTCTGTTGGCCGCTATAGAGTATGAGAAACACCAGTGGAAGATATGTGGCGATCTCAAAGTCATCAGTTTACTACTGGGCCTTCAGAGTGGCTACACAAAGCACATGTGCTTTTTGTGCTTGTGGAACAGCAGAGCTGATGCAGAGCACTATGTGAGAAAGGATTGGCCGACAAGACCAAGAGATGCGCCTGGAAGGTTTAACTGTGCTCACAATCCGCTTGTAGATCCAGAAAAGATATTTTTGCCTCCACTGCATCTAAAGCTCGGTTTGGCTAAAAATTTCATCAAAGCTATGGATCAATTCGGTGCTGGGACTCTATACTTATCTCAGAAACTAGGTGGTGTGGTTTCCGAATCCAAGTTGAAAGCAGGTGTCTTGAATGGACCACAAATTCGTACACTAGTTAATGATAGCGAATTCACCAAAACATTGAACCCACTGGAGAAAAAAGCATGGGAATCATTTGTCAATGTGTCAAAGAATTTTCTTGGAAACTATCGTGCTGACAACTACAAAGAAATCGTAACAACCATGCTTCAGAATTATCATGCATTGGGAGCAAGGATGTCCTTGAAATTGCATTTTTTCCACTCTCATATTGAATTTTTCCCAGGTAACCTTGGAGACGTTAGTGATGAACACGGCGAAAGATTTCATCAAGATATCGCCATAATGGAGAGCAGATATCAGGGACAATTCAGTCCTAACATGATGGGCGACTATTGCTGGACACTGCAACGAGAAGAGAGCAAGCTGTACAAGAGAAAGAGTAAAGTTCAGAAGCACTTTTAGAACTTCATATTTTGTCATTATAAAGGATTTGAACTTATGTTTTTTGGTACAATTTTTTATGAGCTTATCTGTGATAGGTTTAAAATTGTATCTTGCATGACGCGATAATGTTACTATATTTACTATTTTTTTTATTCTTTAAGAAAGTAGGTCTGATGGTAGAATGAAACATCCAATTAATATTCATTAATATGAAATTAGTCATGAAAGCACAGTCACATGAGATAATCTCATCTTTTGCACGACACGTGATGGAATATTAAATATTTGTACCTATTGATTTTTGTATGAAACCTGGTCTGATAGAACAAAACAAATATCAGATTCGAATTCATCAATATGAAATTAGTTGTGTGAGCATGATCTCATATGTGAACCATTTTGGCTGTTGACCAGTGTTATACGCTTCAGCATCTTAAGGTCTTTTAAAGCGTATTCTAGTTTAATAAATACACTAATTACCAACTATAAATTAAAAAGGGACTTCTAACACTCAATGGCATAGATGCCATAGAGGGAAGGAAGGTTGGAGGAAGGTACTGCTAAATTATATACGTGATGACGCATACCTTAAGATTTGATACCACACAGGGATTTTTTTGCTAAATCTTATTCTATTCCTTTAATAAATATACTGTAATGATAATAATACCATCGTAGGTGATTTTTAAATGAGTAAAATCTTTATTATAAGGTCTATAATCTATATTGTTTTGCTTACATTTGGAAGTTTGGGAGAGAATATTGCCGATTTTGTTAGGGATGTGATGTTGCTGTGCGTTGCTTCACCATACGTGACGAGGCAACCTCAGTGTGGGAGTTGGCATCAGAGTAGCTGTAAACCTCAGAGCAACAGGTTGGGTTCTACAATAAGTTCATCAGGCACACCCTACGGCAAGAGTACCACCACTCACGTGACTTGTATCTACGGCAACGCTACCACTGTCTACTACCACTAATATTACAGGAACTCTACCACCGTCTACTTCTACTTCTACAGGAACTCTACCAAACCGTCTACTGCTACTTCTACAGCAACGCTACCACCGCATATCACGGTCGCAATGCAAAAATCTGTTACTCTCCTGGCAATGGCCCATAAGCGAAGCTGGACTCCAATGACAGACAAAAGCAACAATACAGAAGGTGTGACAACAGTGAACGATAAGCTGGCGGTTGGCACTACAAACCTTGGAGTCTTAAATCGAGGACTGGTGACTGGTGACGAAGATCCTGGTGATGGAGGAGGAGAAGAAGAAGGAAGAGGTCGTTCAGGAGAGGACAGTGAAGGAGTAGCACTAGAAGATACTGTAAAAACAACACTAGTCAGTATTATAGCCACACCACCTGAATATTCTGTGGCTACGAGTAATTATGATGAAGACCCTGAAGAGAAAGGTAATCTGATTTATTTATTTTATTATTATTTTAACCATACATACACACACACACACACATGTCACTCACACACACGCCACTCACACAAACTTTAGCTTATTAACATTTAACATAAGAACATAAGAAAATAAGGAGTCTGCAATAGGCCGGTTGGCCTGTGCATGGCAGTTCCTGTAGAGAGTTACTGCCACTCTCTATCATCCATGAATCTATCTAGCCTCCTTTTGAAACTTTCCAGCGTTCCAGCACTTACTACATAGTTGCTAAGCTTGTTCCACTCGCCCACCACCCTATTTGTGAACCAGTTTCTTCCTATCTCCCTCCTAAACCTAAACTTATCCAACTTGAATCCGTTGCTCCGAGTCCTATCCTGCTCGGATATTATAAGAACTTTATCTATATCCCCTTTATTGATTCCTTTCACCCACTTAAATACTTCTATCATATCTCCCCGCACTCTTCGTCTTTCTAGGGAATGCAAGTTAAGTTTCTTTAACCTATCCTGATATGGAAGGTTTCTAAGTCCCGGAATCATTTTCGTCATTCTTCGCTGCACCGACTCTAGTGAATTGATAACCATTCTATAATAAGGGCACCAGAACTGAACCGCATAATCGAGGTGCGGCCTGACTAGCGCAAGATATAGTTGCAATAAGACCTCTGCACTCTTGTTACTTACACTTCTAGATATAAAACCCAATACTCTGTTTGCCTTATTTCGAACATTAACGCACTGTTTTCTAGGCCGTAGGTCCGGGCTTACAAGTACCCCTCGGTCTCTTTCACAAGTCGACTTCTCTAGGTTGATGTTGTTAAGGCTGTATACATTGACCGTATTTGTTCTTCCAATATTAAGTACGCTGCACTTGCTGGTGTTGAATTTCATTTGCCATTTTTCAGACCACCCCTGCTTTCTTTAAAATTACACCAATCTATATATCAACATTTAAATAATAATAATAATAATAATAATCATACTAATAATAATAATAATAATAATAATAATAATAATAATAATAATAATAATAATAATAATAATAATAATAATAATCATACTACTAATAATAATAACTGATGTGAAAACATCAAGAAATCACAACAAAATAACACAAAATTCTGTTAATCTAAGATAATGTTATGCCGAGGCATGATTTCGTATCTTGTAAACTAGGTGTTTTGATTGTTTTCTGTCCCATTCAGCATTATTTTTGGTAAATTTAATGAAATTTTCGTGTACATATGGATGATATTGACGTATTAATTATGTAAGAATATTCTAGGATGTATTGCATCATTTTTGTTCAAATTTACCTCTTATTGTAAGCCTAGAATTCTAGATAATTCTAGAATTCTCCAGGCGGGTCTCTAGCCGACCTCCCGCGTCTGGACATCGCTAGAATGCTCTAGTCAAGGTGTCCGACGAGTGACGACCCGCAAATAAGCTAACGTGGGCTGCCTAGGGGCAGTTAGTTGCTCGCCTCTCTTAGTGTAAAGACTAAGACAATTGTTGTGCAAGTATTGTGAAACTGTTGTGATTTATATAAAGTGAGAAGACTAAGGAATTGTAAACTGGTAGTGTGCTGTTTATATATTTGAAGTGTGGAGTTAATCTGTGAAGACATTACCCTGCTAACAGGGTAATGTTTGTTTATTAAAGAAGACTACAGTGCACTAGTGTGTTCCTTTGACCTGGTGGAAATCTACCTGCCTGTTGTTTGTCTGTACACTGATACTGATCGTCGGGGAATTACCGGAGACTGGCGAGACAGCCATTGGTAATTCGACAACTTTTGTCGAACTGCTCTGTACATACGACCCTAGCCGCTGGTAACCAGTGGTGAAGACTGGGTAAGCGGTGAAAGGAGGGGGTTATAACAATAATAATGACTTCTAACTCTCAAAATATGAAAGACACTTCAAAGAATAAATAAATCTTCACCGGACATAAAACGTACAGTGATTTGATTAGCCAGTTAGTGTAAATATATTTCTTATTTGTCATTTTACCATTTACCAGTTTACCAGCCGTTCGGCCGGTTGGTACTCGGGATGGTCATACATTGTTACCAACATAGCAATACTTCTAACAGATACAGAGTGTTGGGGACAGCGTCACACCCTGGCACTTTTAGGCTTCCTCAGCAATGCTATATCCTACTCCCATCGAACAGTGATATCTATAGCTATCGTGGCTATGGCTGGCAGGAAGGGCACCAGCGAGGTCAACCATACGATTACGGCTCGTCCTGACACCTGTCCACTACCAGCGGGATGGAACGAAACACACATAACGCAAATTGTAAGTTAATGACAGCAAGTTGTTTGTTTGTGTACCCGCACTGTCTATGTACACTGTATACCTACACTGTTTAATTACGTTGTTTGTATACCTGTACTGTCTATATGCATGCGGAACTACATACCTGCAGTCTATATACATGCCGATCTGTACACCTGCATTGTCTATATGCGTACTGAACTGTATACTTGCATTGTCTATATGCATACTGAACTGTAGACTTGCATTGTCTAGATTATATGCATACTGAACTGTATACCTGCAATGGCTATATACTGTACATGCTGAACTATATACCTTCGGTCTACATACATCCTGAATCAATTGTAAACTTGTATAATGACTATACTTAATAAATAAACAACTATTTATTTATTTGTCTACCTCACCAATACACTTAGGAAGGCGAGTTTGACTGGGACGAGCAGACACAAGGAATGATGATAGGCTACTTCTTCTGGGGCTACGCCACCTCCAACGTGCTGGGAGGGCGACTTGCGGAGGTCCTTGGTGGTCGCTTAGTACTCGGGATCGGTATAATATTAACATCATTCTTCACTATCCTCTGCCCATTTTGTGCCTACACTTCCAAGGGAATATTCATAGCTGTTCGAGTCATTATGGGCATCTCTCAGGTAAGATATTGATATAATGAAAGCAGAAGTAATTTTGTTTTGTTTTAGGTTCGTATTAAGGGGAGGTTGTCTGTAATAATATTTCTGATATTGTTGTCTAGGATGTAATTACGTACTTTAAGTGACATTGAGTTTCGTGTGTGTGTGTGTGTGTGTGTGTGTGTAATATAGCGCTATTTACGAGAAGCATTTATAACCAATGTGGGATTGCCGTCTCAAGTGACGGGAAGCTGGCAAGTTGTCACATCATTGTCTACAATATTGGTCCGAGAACTGAACTTTGACTCTGCTGTGAGCCAGGAGTTATTCAGTAGTATATTGGGGTATTTATCTTACATTTATAATGGTGCTATGACATGTATTGAATGTACTATCGCCACACTGCCCCAATATGATAGCCAGGATTATAACACCCATTTCCAGGTTACTGCACTTTATTTGGGCAAGATCTGGTTAAGTTGGAAATTAGCTGAATGCAAAATTTATTTTACTTCTTACTTATTATGCTTTATATCATGAATCTTACTGAGAACATAATAATTTTAAGTATAATTTATCATGTTTCAGGGCATGACCTACTCAGCCATGGGTACTATGTTGGTAGCATGGGTCTCACCGAAGGAAAGAGGCACATTTCTCTCTATCGTCCTGTCAGGTAAATAACTGGTGTCAACTAAGCTCACTACAGTATATACTTGGTCATCTTAACTCTATGTACTGGTAATATTAACATAATTTTTACGTCATCCAAGTTTGATCAATATTATGCTGAAGATAAAGACTTCTATTCCTGGATAACGGACTCAGCTCTCACGTCTAATCCGTTAAACATAGGTTTCACTATATCTATATCTATTCATCTATCTATCTATACACATCATCTATCCATGGATTTTCAAGGGATGCAGCTCGGCATCTTGGCATCCTTGGCTTTAGGTGGGCTCCTGATCGAGTCTGGGTTTCTGGGTGGGTGGCCGTCTACGTTCTATGTGTTCGGTGCTATTGGACTGGTGTGGAGTATTCCCTGGTTCATACTAGTGAGGGATCGTCCCGAAGAGCATCCCAATATATCTAGGAGCGAGTTACGGTATATTAAGACACACACAAGTTCTATCAAGACCACTGGGGTGAGTGGTGTTGTGCTGAGAGAGACAATTTGTGATCGTGGATTTTGTTTGTTTTTATTGTATTTTTATGTTTGTATATTTACTTGTTTTAATTTTGTTTTACATGTGTTTTAACTTTTTAATTGTTTTAACTGTTTTTTGCTTGTGGTTTATCTGTGTCCTTGTGTTTTTACTTTTTTTGTCTAGGTAGTGAAAGTCCCGTGGGTGAAGATCATGACCTCACCAGCTGCATGGGCGACAAACGTGGCTAACATGGGCAGTAGTTACACCATGCTAACTATGGTGGCTGGTATACCTTCCTACCTCAGTGACGTCGAACACATGGATGTGGAAAATGTAAAGTACAAGAGTTAATCAATGTTTTTTATAACTTCAGTGAAACCTCCGTATGACGGACTTCTCTCTCCATTTAATCCGTTAGATGGGGGTTTCACATCTAACGGACACTCGATATAATGGACTTTTATCTATATTGTTTATCAGGTGGAAGTTTTTCACATCTAATGGACCCTCGATATAACATACTTTCCCCTCCATATAGACCGCTAGCTTAATTTAGGTTAAGTAACCTTTTCCCTGTGACTTCTCCCTAAACTAATTTTGTGGAAATAACAAAATGCGTAAAAAGTTTTCATCAATTGTCTCAACAATGTCAATTTAATAATAAATAATGTGTTATGACGGAAGGCGAGTTACGAGCACTCTTACCTGACTGACCCTGATTTTAGTGCAGTAACATTAAGTATAATCTGGGGTACAGTGGCAATACACTATTCACTTCCTGATCAAAGGGTCAAGGGTGGTGGGGGGAGGGGTATCCGAGTCCACTAATCTTTTACCGGGATTAGTCCACCCGAGCGCAGGTCACTGACCCACATCAATGCATGGGGAATATAATAATAATAATAATAATAATAATAATAATAATAATAATAATAATAATAATAATAATAATAATAATAATAATAATAATAATTATAATAATAATAATAATAATAATAATAATAGATAAAACTATAACAAAATATAAATAACAATAATAACCATAAATACTGTACAAAAAAAAATCGAGAATGAGAAACGATATAAAGTATGTATGCTGTGTTGTAAGAGAAACGATTGGAACCCTTCAATTGTGTATATGATACAGAAAGTCAGATCAGCAACCTGGGACTTGGGTCACAATTTTTGTGATGCCATATGGCAGCAGGGTCTACCATTAGACAACACATTATGCTTCCAATATTTTCCCAGGCGGTAGTACCTCCCTGTTTGATAGCTACCTACTACCTGCGAAGAAGAGTAACCTAACTTTTAGCTAGTGTAGCAAGACCAGTTAAAATGTATTAATAGCCACACTCCCTCCTTCTGTAGTGAGAAATAACTAATATACTGTATAATACTCTACAGTACATATGGCTAAAAATAAGTTCGCAGAGACCCAACATATGTATACGTAGGGTAAGGCAAGAGATCTGGTAACGGTGTAAAACCTTCGCTTCCAAACGTACGATACATCATACTTGGCTTCCCTTACTACAGTATTACCAGGTCGGTTGTCTTACCCTATATACGTATATGTTGGAGTCTTTTCGAATATATTTGGGCGACTGTACCACAAATAACACTAACATCCCACTGTAGTTGACATTAAAACAGAGATAAACATCATGTTATATTTCAACAGTAAACAACAGCTTCAGCACCATATGTTACCGTCCAATTATAAAGTGCTTTTGTTTTGTGATTTACTTTGTCCTACAGCAGGATATCAGTAAAATGAAAAAAAAAATCTACAGCAATAGATAGTATGTACTTTGAAATACATGTACAATACAGTAATTTTTTTTACACATACAGTTTTAAAGAATTGTTTGTCATCTCACCTGTACAGAATGGATTGTTGTCATCCCTGCCGTATGTGGCTATGGTAATTTGCACTTTCTGTTGGGCAGCATTCACTGATCGTCTCTTGAAGGCTGATGTCGTCTCAACTCTTACTGTTAGGAGGCTTTCCACAATGCTTGGTTAGTCTCGTGAACACCGATAAAATATTTTTGTTTTTTTTAATCACTTGTGAGGTTGCTCTTGCTCAAGAATTGTCATATGCATTCACCCACAGAAGTCCTGTCGCCTCTTGAGCCACGAACTCCGAGATTCAGACTAGTGAATCCGAAGCATTTATAGACTAATGTATGTGTCTAATGCTTCGGGTTCACGATTCTGACTCTTGAGTTCGTGGTTTAGAAGAGACATTGTGGGTTCTGGACAGTATAGCCAGACCTATTATTTAAAACAAAAGTAATATTGCAACTAATTTTTTTTTGTCATTTTCAGGCTCATATGTTCCTTCAGCATCGATGATAAGTCTGTGCTTCGTGAGATGTAACCCGGTCTTAACTATGGTGGTCCTGTGCATCAGTATTGGGTGTATGGGACCGGCGTTCTGTGGCTTCCATGCCTCCAGTCAAGACATCGCCCCTAACCTGACTGGCACGCTCATGGGTGTGGCTAACACCATGGGTTCTGTGATGGCCTTTGTGGGTCCTGCTGTGTTGGGCACCATTATTGAAGGCAATGTAAGGTGGTCTTTTTCATATACATACATACATACATACATACATACATACATACATACATACTGTAACAAGCATATATATACACACCCACATACAAACATACATATCCACACACACATATACACAGACACGTTCAAGCACATATACTTTATTAAAGATAACATTAAGGTTAAGCTAAGTTAGGCTCGGTTAAGGTAGTTTAAGCGGGCCAGATTGAAGATAGGGGGAAGTTATTTAGGATTAGGGGAAGTTATTTTAGATTAGGGGAAGTTATTTTAGATTAGGGGAAGTTATTTTAGATTAGGGGAAGTTATTTTAGATTAGGGGAAGTTATTTAAGATTAGGGGAAGTTATTTTAGATTAGGGGAAGTTATTTTAGATTAGGGGAAGTTATTTTAGATTAGGGGAAGTTATTTTAGATTAGGGGAAGTTATTTAAGATTAGGGGGAAGTTATTCTAGTGTATCAGGAATTATGGTTAGTGTACTGAAGGTGATATTTTGAACAATACTCCTGTTGATGAAGTAACAATAAGTAACTCCCATGTATTGCTTGTTGTCTACAATAAGTAACTCCCATGTCCTGCCTATTCACTCTACAATAAGTAACATTAACCATCTCCTGCACAGTCTACAATAAGTAACATTAACTATCTCCTGTACAGTCTACAATAAGTAACATTAACTATCTCCTGAACAGTCTACAATAAGTAACATTAACTATCTCCTGTACAGTCTACAATAAGTAACATTAACCATCTCCTGAACAGTCTACAATAAGTAACATTAACTATCTCCTGTACAGTCTACAATAAGTAACATTAACCATCTCCTGAACAGCCTACCATCAAGTCCTGGAGGATAGTGTTCATAATCACATCAGTTGTCTCCTTCACTTGTGGGACTTTCTACCTCATCTTCGTCAAAGCCGAACCACAGCCCTGGAACTATCCCGAACCTAAAAGTATGTAAGCAATTATTATTATTATCTATGATGTGTGTTTGTCAGCATGCTCGCCTCGTAAGGGAGCGGACCCTGGTTCGATCCCCGAGTAGAGTGAAGCTTTGGGCAAGTTTCTTTACGCCATTTGCCTCTGTCTACCCGGCAGTAACTGGGAACCTGGATGTTAGTCGATTTGTGGGTCGTGTTCAAGGGGTAATGGTTAGCCAGTGCAGTTGGCGAATTGTCCGGTCTTCTCGGATTATTCCTTGACAATGGGTCATGCAACTCGTTAACTTAGGGTGTGGTTGTTGTGTTGGCGACAGCTTCTACACCTTTAACAAATTCATGCCTAGGTGGCAACCATTATGATGTCTGAGAGAAAGTGGGTATGTGCGTGTTCCTTATGTATCCACAGTTTTGAAGATAAGAGCTGAAATTTGGTAGGGAGGTGCAGATGGTTTAGGCCTTAGTCAGTGTATTGTCATGCTTATCTCCTGGGTGAAGATGGATAACTTTAATTATCAAAAAACTGTAACTTAATTTTTTATCTATATTTTGTGTCACTTATTGCAAACTATATTTACACACACACACATAACTGTACAGTCGGGGTCAAAAGTTTGCTCCCTCCCAAAATGAAGCAGCATCATTCCCGACTGTACATACACATGCATGCACACATATACACACATGCGGGTACCCTCCCCCTACACACACATATACAAAAACTAAAACACACATACTCTGAGACATACATACACATACAGGCACACACTTATAAATACAGTACTTAAAGAAAAAAGTAAGATACATTGACTTTTCAGTTTCTCAAATGGAAGCAAGGAATAATATAGAGGAGGATGAACCTGACCAGCGCACACACACCAACAACCAACCGACTCCTGATCCAACACTGTAGCTCCTGTCCTTATACACTAACTGGTGCCTTTTGTGAGACTTGGTAACACTGTGCACGAAGGCTTATCTTGTACAATAACCTTATTTTGGCTACTATTGTGAGGTTTCTTAAGGGAGTTTTAATACTTTGTGAGGTTACTTAGGGCCATTCTGGTAGTTTTAATACAATGTAAACAAACACAGGTGTCACATCTCACCAGACACTGTACCAGCTATAAGTACAGGTGACTGTACGTAGCTATATGCACCCTCTCCTCGGTACCACCATCACTACAACTTACCCACATCTTTACTCTTTCCTCATCTCGTTTTCTACATCATTGTCCCCTTGTGATCTTCTCCCCAGAAATAATTAGTTCCCCCCCCCCCTGTTACCTGTTACAGCTTCTGGTATTTGTTATGGAAATTAGTGTTAGTCCTTTGTGTACTCTAATTAGTCCAGTCACAGCCATCACAGTCTCATGTTCAATTGTTGATAGATTTAAGCGTAATTACTAACTTGTTTCGTGAGTGAAGACTTTAATTGTTGAAGGGCAAGAATAGTATAATAAAGTCAACAACCTCTTAACGAGTGACAACAGCAGCAGTAAGATCTCTCACAGAGGAATCCTCAAGTGGGGTTCTGCCAATAAACAGAGACATTAAAACTACTGAAAGAAAAACACCCCCCTGCAAGTGATGAAGAAGGCATCATGTTCCAGGGTGACTATATCCCACCAAATGCTGTCCTGTTCGAGAAAATAACTGGAGAGATGGCGTGGAAAAAGGCACTGAAGACTCGAGGAGGAGCCGGCCCTTCAGGTCTGGATGCAAACGGTTGGAGAGTCATCCTAAGCACTAACAAGTTTGGCCCTGTAGCAAGTGATCTCTGCACTGCCATTGCCGTCCTTGCAAGAAAGCTGGCATCCTCTTGCTGCCATCACCTCCATGCTCTGACGGCCTGCCGCCTTATTCCATCCCCTGGATAAGAATCCAGGATGTAGACCTATAGGGGTGGGGGAAGTGCTGATGCTGATCATCGGTAAATGCACAATGGAGGTGGTAAAGGATGATGTCAGGGCAGCAGCAGGGAACCTACAAGTGTGTGCTGGCCACCAGGCTGGTGGGGAGGCGGCCATTCACGCCATGAGATTGATATTTGAGCTGCGTGATTGTGAGGCCGTTCTCCTGGTGGATGCTTCAAACGCATTCAACATACTTAACCGCAAGGCCGCACTGCACAACATCAAGATCATGTGTCCAAGCTTTGCAATGTATGTTGAAAACTCATATAGGAATCCATCAGACCTCTATATAGTAAACAACCCGGCTCTAAGAGGTGATACCATCTTACAGTCGACCGAGGAAACAACACAGGGGGACCCTGTTTCAATGGCAATGTACACAATAGGCCTTTCAGTGCTCCAACACGAAATAAAATTTGAAACAACTGAGGTCAAACAAGTGGCGTACGCTGATGACCTTACAGGAGCAGGAAAAGTGGAGGACATCAAAAAGTGGTGAGACTTGGTAACATTGCGAGGTCCACAAATAGGGTACCACCCAAACGCCAGCAAGTCCTTCCTCAGTGTGATGTAAGAACATTATGAACGGGCAATGGAGGTGTTTGGCGGAAGTGAGTTCAAAATAACAAAGGATGGCCAAAGACATCTAGGCGCAGTAATTGGTACGAAAGACTTCAAGACCGAGTACGTAGCGGGAAAGGTGAATGAGTGGATTAGGGAAATCCAAGCTCTGTCTAAGATTGCTAACACAGAGCCACATGCAGCTTTTGCAGCATTCACCCATGGAGTCAAGCATCACTGGAACTACCTGATACGTACTATCCCTGATATCGGACCCCTCCTCCACCCTCTGGATGAAGCTATCAGTGTCAATTTCATTCCCAAATTAGTGAAAAACCCCCTCTTAACCCCAGCAGAAAGATCACTCCTTGCACTTCCATCAAGACTGGGAGGAATGGGACTAACCAATCCAGAGGAGAGTACTGCCACCGAACATCAAAATTCAGTATAGCTCACGGCAGCCCTCATGGACCACGTAATAGCCCAGAATGCAACAGGGGAGGTGGATACCAGTGAAGTAAACAAGATTCATAGGTCCATTATGACAGAACGACAGCACGGCCAAAGTGATAAGCTGCAGCAACTGTTGCTGCAGGTACCAGAGAATTTAAAAAAAAAAGTAGCTACAGCGCAGGAGGTGGGTGCCTCAAACTGGTTAACTACGTTACCGATAAGGGCAAATGGTTTCAGTCTCAATAAACAAGAATTTACTACTGCCATTGCTCTAAGGTACGGTCGGCCAGTAGATGGTTTGCCCTCCCAATGCGTGTGGCTCTACCTATGACGTCGATCACGCCATGGTGTGCAAGAAAGGGAGCTTCATTTGCATGAGGCATGACGAAGTAAGGGATCTCACAGCAAATATGTTGAAGGAAATCTGCCGTGATGTCATGGTAGAACCGACCCTTCTTCCATTGGACGGTGAGATCTTCCAACATAGGACTTCAAACACATCCAACGAAGCCTGTGTTGACGTCAGTGCGAGAGGATTCTGGAGGCGGGGACAGCGAGCCTTCTTCGACATCAGGATTTTTTATCCCATGGCCGCATGTCACCGTAACTTAGCTCTCGATGCTGCACACAGTAGGAACGAGAACGACAAGATAAGGGCATACGGGGAGAGAATTCAGAACGTTGATCAAGACAGCTTTACTCCTCTAGTGTTCACAACCTCCGGTGGGATGGGCCCAAGTGCAAGATGTTTCTACGCCAGACTCGCGGAGGTGATCTCCGAACAGAAGCAGCAGCCCAGAAGTTATGTTACAGCCTGGATGAGATGTCAACTGTCTTTCTCTCTACTTCGGTCGGCTTTACTCTGCCTCAGGGGAACGAGAGCTTCTGCCCCAAAGCCGACAACAGCTGCAGATATTGACTATGAGGCTACAGTCACTGAATGCCACATAGACCTGCGGCTCAACTAACTCAACACAGCTAGAATAGCTACTTATGTATTAGGATACTTAATATTAAGGTAATAAAATGGTGGCGAAGGTGTGGCTATTGGGGGAGGCTGGAGGCCACGTGAAAAAATAAATAAAAAATAAAATTAAATAAATAAACTTACTAACGAGGTTGCCCAGACGTTTGTTTCTGTAGCCTCAACCGTGTTCCTCTAACTCCCAAAATATTTATATCAATATTTCAAAACCCTTATGAGATTTTTCCCCGGACTGTTTCATCTTTATAAGCAAGGTTGAAATGTAAAATGAAACATAATATTCTTCTTTGTTGAGAGAAAATACATCACGAGTCTTCTATTTTGGCGTTAAATGTCATTATTTTCCTATCCTAACCTAACCTTCTCCTAACCTAACATTGACATTCATCATTCTCTTTAACACTTCCTTGATGAACCTCAGCATATACTTCATCTAGCTACCAACCTCTTCTTCGGGGAGATTGTTTACTAATCCCTTGTGTATGGGGTCCCTTTGTCCTGAATAAAATCGTCCAGCATTTACCAAATAAACTACTAAAAGTGGCGTCCCATAATGAAGGGATATACTATATATTATGTTTGTAACAGTTGTGTGAAAAAAAATTTATTTGATAAATTCATAAAGTTAATGAATAAATATTTCCCAGGATAACCACAGATCTTATTTCTCCCCATACTCTTCCATCTACCACGTGGCTGACACTTTATTGTTGTTCTCATTGACTTGTTGTAAAGAAATTATGACAGTTTACTATTGTTTGTATCCCCAGCTACCTACGAGCACTCTCTCCAGAAAGTATCTTTATGGAGGGGGTGATGAATTTCAAAGCTAACATAATGACTCCTGTTGTGAACCTCTGTCTTGCATGGCAGTGAACAGTGACATTACCCACATGAATCTGATCTATATATACTGTCAATGAATATGGCAGTGAGAAGTAATACCACCCTCAGTGTCAAGACCTGATTGAATTACTAACAATAGGCAAACTGTACTACAAGCTTTGTCAATAAATTTATTAAACTTAAAAAACCTGTTGTCTCGGTAGGGTTGAGAAAATCTTTCGTCCGTTGTGTCATATTGTTTCCCACAAAATCGTCTAGATATTTTTTGGAGTGAGTGTACATAGAAAATTGTATACCTGTATATGGTCTATGTACACTATGCCTGCACTGTCTATATACCAAGTACATGCTGAACCAATTATAAATTTCATGATGATTTTATTGAATAAATACCAGTCTAAATCTATCTAGCAAAATCAACCCTGTACCGACATAAACCTGTGATGTTCGGTAACTATTATTATTACAGTAACGTATTTACCTGGTGAAGTGCGACACGGGTTAAGTTAGGTATCCTTAACTACGTGTTCTCTCCAACACACCTGAATAAGTTAGATACAACAAAAAATAATGTTCACCCACCAAAAAAAGCCCCGTCAAGCCCCCCATCCCATTCATGGACCCTGAGACTCCATCACATAACACAAGTGTTGGGTTCGTGGATAGTGCACCGTGTAATGTCTCAGATTTACAGGCTGTTACGACCGTGTCGAATTTTTTCTATTTTTTTATACATAACCTGCTCCCATGTTCCATATTATTCCTGTAATGATGTGTTAAATTTACTATTATATATTCTAGTCACCTTACCCTGTGCTGTTAAGGTTTTAACTGTCATTATTTGTTCAAGCCCATCTTATTTCTTTATTTTGTATTGTAACAAGCATTCTTTGTTCTCTAACGACCATCTGCATCGTTAAACGACCCACCGGCGGGTCGCGTGGCGGGAGCCGACCTTATATATAGGACCCACCAACTGACTTGAGTTAGTTCAGTCCTCTTGTCATACAGTTCACATCCTTTGAGTGACACTCGTCACTTGTTACTTAAACTTAATTTATTTGTGTTGTTCCTGTCGCCACCAATGTGGTATATCTATGTGAGTACCTATTTATGTCTCTATTTATGTCCATCAGTATTTGCTTAGTTACATTCAAGTAATTCAGTGTTGTTTCACGTTAGTTAATTTCAGTGATAGTTTTTATATGTTTATGCAGTGTTAACGTAATCCAATGCTTTATTTTTATTCTTTTGATGTTTCGATGTTTAGTATCATTTGTGTCTTAAAAGTTTCGATGGTGAATCCATTTGTTGTGACAGCCTACGAGGCTCTTTATTGTGTTAATATTTAATCAATTAAATTCTTAAAGGTTTACTTTATTTATTTTTATTCTCTTTTAATTTACTTCACTTTTTGTTTGGTTACGCCTAGAACCTGGATATTTAATAAATTAAGAGACGGCGTAACAAGGCTCATGATCATGTCTCAAGGATGGGCAAGAGGACTGACAGGACTCTTTTTGGTGGGTGTATACTGTACTCAACAAAAGATATACCAAAAATATACAGTTAATTGGTCTTAAAAAGAGTTTTAGAAAAGATAAGAATTTATATTATTTCACTATTTATCTTACCAGTTGATCTGTACTTTATTATGACCTTCACTGTCCAGTGTTAGTACAGGAAGAAACTATAGTAGCCGAACAAAACCTGCCATGTTTGGTGAGTGGCATCACACTGTATAACACCCTTCTCACATCTGT